TTATTAAGTTAATTGAGGTTCAGAAGAAATTAAAGCATTTTGAATGGGATGATGATTTTGATGATGATTTTACGGATTATGATCCATACGAAGAACTTATTCTTACACTAGAAAAAAAAGCAGAAAGCCTCAATTATTTAAGAATAATTTTTTTATATTCGTATGATTATGACCACATATTATTGCAAGATATACTTTCAAAGTTTAATAAATTAAAAGTATTAATAATTGGTGATTATACTCCTTTTAATGAAGAACAATTAGAAAAATTGAAAATACAGGTTTATTGTAAACTTGAGGTTCTTAATATAGAGCAGAATAAGCTAAGTGTAATTTCCAGTATAATTGAAAATAGTGGAGGGTGTCTCAAGAAAGTTTTATTCAGTCCTTATAATATTAAATGTGAACGTTTTAATTTTAATGAGGATTCTCTTATCAATTTTATTCGTAAAATTTATGAAAATTGTCCTTCAATTGAATACTTGTCAATTGCATTCTCACCATTAAAGGAGCATTTCATTGAACTTGAAAAATTATTAAAAATTTGTAAAAATTTGAAATCATTATTATTAGTTGTAATTTTTGATAATGAAAAAGATACTTACGAAAATTCTTTGAAAAATGGGGAAGAATTATTAAATATATTAATTAGATCAGCGCCAACTAATTTTAAAGAAATTAGGTTCTGTCATAGATTTAAATTTTCTTTGGAAATCTTGGAGGAATTCTTGGAAAAATGGAGAGGTAGACATGCAATTTCATTATTTACTACTGAATATTTAGGTATTTATAAGGAATTGACCAATAAATATAAAAGAGATGGAGTAATCAAAGAATATAAATATTTACCTTATGTAGATTTAACTGAATATATTATGGAAGTTTGCTATTAATGTACAGTGATTGTAGCTGCATTGTAGTTATAAATAATAGTAGTAACCACATAGTAAAGCTTATTAAGGAACTAAGTTTTTGTAAAGTATTGTATTTGATATGTTATAAGTCATAATGTTAAGGTTTAAAAGATTCAAAACATTATTTCTATAGATATCAGGTTATTTTTATGACATTTTTATATTTTTTAACTAGAGGATCGAATTGGTTCACTTATTAACAATTTTTCAGTATAGTTTAAATAAAGCATGTTTAAGTATATTTATTATTCAATTTTTTATCGTATGATTACGTGTGATCATAACATGATTTTATACTGTATATTAACAATTATTAAAAGTATTTCTTTGTAAAAATTTTTGAATGAAATTTATTAAAATAAACTTTCTTTAAAATTTTATAATAATTTTTACGGCAAAGATATCACGGGAAATCATTGATTTTTTCTTATTTGGCTAATTCCACTTTTTCAAATCAAATTGTTAGTTAATACGATCCTAAGTACAAACAATTCAGGTGTTAAACAATAAAACTTTTTTATTTACTCATTGATTATTTATTTTGTAAATTTTAAATATAATTTTTCAAACTTTTATTTTCAAAGATAATAAATACTTAATAAATTTAGATGCTTTATTTTACATATAATAGAATTTCATACGTAAGGAAAGCTTTTATTTGGCTTTTAATGTAGTAATCTCATCTAATAATTATGGAATATATAAATATTTTAAATAATAATTAAAGATTTGAAATTCAAGTAGAAATATCATTTACGTGATTTGTAGCGAAAAAACTAAGCAATTATTTTGTTTCATGTTTTATCATATTTTTTATAAACTACGGATTTCTTAAACTGATAAAAGAGATTAATATAACTCAAGTTTTTAGCGTCACTACTTCTCTTTTTCTGGATATCATAAATATTTATATATTATTTCAGCAACAGTGTCTCGCTGGTAAATCCTAGCTACAAACCTTTTAACCTTGAACAGAGATAAAGCTGAATTATTAATAATTATTGATATTACTATTTTATAATTTTACGCAAATATAATAAACATGATTTATTAGAGCAAAGTGATTGAACGAACCTTTTTTTATACTCCTTCAATTTTAAATTTATCCAGTTTTTTGTCCATATTTTCTATTTTAGGAATAACGAACAAATAAATAGAAAAATAGAAGACCAATAAGACCCATTAATTAAATACACTGTTAATAATAACATTTAATAACAACAAGAAAAATATGTAAATAAATATGAAAATGTATTGCATTAACGTATCCTTTGCTCTATCACTTTCCACTCTTCCCTGTACTTTCAGAAGTTATTTATAATGCGGATGAAACAGGCTTATTTTTCCGATAGAACTAAAGTTTCTGGATAAAAAAAGTTATTTATTCTTAATTTTTTTTAAAATTTTATTATTGTTTTTTTTTACGGAATAAATGGAAGATTTTTATTACCCTGTTAGCATTAGCTTGCCTTGTTATCTAATTGTCCTTGAAGGCAGACTGGTTATTCAGTCTTTTTCGTTCTAATGCGGTCATATTGTATTCCGAAATCAATCTCACGAGATTAGTGAATCTTTTTATCCTCCTTGCGCATATCAAACAAAAATTCAACTTACTTTTACGTCATTAACCCAAACTAAATCCCTCCTCTCCTTCCATAGACCTCCCGGAAAAGTCACGTGTATCATAAGCGCAGTGACTCACCTGAATTTTATCACGTGCCTAAATAATATTGGCGCAGTATACCTACTTGCCAGGTATCTACAAACCCGAAGCAAAAGCTTTATCTATTATCTGTTGGCCCTCAATACAAATGTGGGAATGAAATATCACAATTATAGATATGTAGAATCCGTCTCAGGAAAGTTATCTTGCGAAATATAATTTTTCACATAATTTGTGTTGGTGAGTGATACGGATATGCGAAAATCTTGTTGGGCAAAATAGATTATTTCGAAAATCTGTTTATAGAAAAAGACTATAGGATGTGAGAAAATTGTAGTTTACAAATATTAACAACATTATGCATCATCCCATCATATTGATAAATTCATAATTCATGTTTATTGATATTCGAGTTTTTTCGCTTTAGCGGGTTTGATATAATATTGGATATTCGTGAAAGGGAAATTGAACCAAAATACTGTGTCCTATGATCATTCGGTATGTGTAATAATGTCTCTAAGGAATTGATACCCCAACACTTAGATCTAAGAATTTTTTGGACGAAGTTACTAATTGTATTCTAATAATAAACCCAGCATTCTAGATAAAGCTAGAGAAGTTTCACCGAAGGTATATTCCGTCAAATGTACATTTCATAAAAAAAAACATGATATAAATCTTTGCTATTAGTTAGCTAAAATAATTGAATTTCCAAGCTTATAAAGAAAAATCATATTATCTGGTATATTTGTATGTCAACTTGCAAATAGCAGTTTGTAAAGCATGTAATCATCTTTGTTTAATGGATCATCTAATATTATTTTACTAGTTTTTTTTTAAATTTTACTTTAAATTGGAAAATTGGAATCAAAACCAAGAATGAACTTAGCGTATAGCCTGGGTAAAACTTTTTATTATTTTATTTCTAATAGATATGACAGACATCAACACTTGTCGGTCATTAATGTAGCAGTTTGAAACTGGACTGATATGAGGCAGTTTGAACATTTACATTTCAAAACCATGGTTTGATTCAACTGATTCAAACTGCAGTTCAACTTGTGGTTTCAAAACCAATTTTTTAATAAAATGATTAATGAATTGAATTTTTTTTTGTTTTTATATTAAGTTCTTATAACACATGATATATTATTTCTTTTTTACTATTTTTATCCAACTTTCTAATGTGATTCTTTAAATTTCTGTAAATTTTTAATTAAAGTATTATAGCCATTAATTTTTGATCTTTACTTCTTTAATTACAACTTTGCTGAAACCTCTGATTTAGCAACTTTAACGCTTCTGGCATGTGACTATCACGTGACTATAGAGACAACTGCTAGTGGCATTTTTTTCGTTTTGAACGTCTAGTTTCTACCTCACTACTTTATGTTGGCTACATGGAGTTAATATAAAACCTTAATTGTTTTTTAAGCTTGGAAAATACGATTATTTTTTTTTAAAAAAAAACATGTAATTATAGATTCTGTCATTTCACTTCATATCTGCTATATAGAGACGATAAATTGTATACAAACCATAATAAGATGCTCGTTATTAATTATTTAAATTTTAATAGATTACATAATTTTTTTGAAATACTTAGAGGTATCAATAATAAATAATTAATCATCGTAAATTATAATCATCGTACAATAGTTAACTTTAATTGTAGTATTAATTTATTAACAAATACATTATTGTAAATTATTAACATATATATTTTAAAATTTAATTATAAAATATTGTAAATTTAATTATAATATATTGTACAATACAGATACATTATATAATGTAAAAATTAATTCCTCTTGTTATAATTGGATTGCCGCGGATTTTTAAGCGATCAACGTACTTTTTTATTTTTTCCGTTGATATAGCGCCCCTGGTGACACAACCATAACAAGGTGGGAACCTGATTTGGACAATGTTATCACCTGATTGATCATTCTCCGAACTGAATTTTTAGGTGCGTCTGCAGATAAAGAATTCAAGTGGTGGATATACGATGCAAGTATCCTTACCCAAGAACTTATACGATCCTGCGGATCTTCAGTCTTCACAACCTATCAATCAACACGGTTCTCTGATTCTCTTCTCAACCTAATCTCACACCTCACTATGGCAGATGATTTTTATGCTCTCGCTATATTTCGTTCTACTCCACAGATCCGAGCTTGTTTTTTGAATTTGTGAATGTATGATAATAGATTAAAAAAAAATAACGAAATTAATGATTGTAAAAGAATTAATAAAATGTAATTTTAAAGAATGTATAATAAAAGAAAGTGTATAAAATGTGATTTTTAAATATTATGCAAAGTTCGCAAAGAACAAATAAAATATTAAAATGCTACTACTTCGCACATATAAAAAAATGAAATTTTTAAGTGTAACAATTCTACCAGCACCAACTCTTCGCTTCATTCTAATGAAAATTTTGATGCAATGTTTTTTCCAGACCTGCTTGGGACTTTACACTTCATTGTAATTTTATCAAGTTTCTTAATATCTTTGATGTTATATTTAGTATAATGTATCTTAAACGCCTCTCTAACAAATAATACGAGCTTTTCCATAGTCCCACAATTTTTGACCTTGGTTTTGTCTGTGCCTTTTAAATATCTGTCTAAAATATTCTCAACAACTTCTTTGGACAAAAACTCTTCAATTTCTGTTCTTGTTGGCGCAGTTGTTAGTTCTTCCCTGATTCGTTTTTCTTTAAATTCGCTTACCCTTGCATCAATTTTTTTATTGAGTTTGCTACAAAAATCTGTCAGAACCCTTTTGGAGTGACAAATGACCTCTTCAGCATCACTGCTATAGAGGTCATAATTAAAGATTTTTGTGACGAGTCTTTCAATTACTTCATCCGGTGGTACCCTACATCGGAGAAAAAGACACTTGATTTCCTCATGTCAAAGTCGAGCAAGGTCCTTTTCATCATTCGGTGTAATAGCAGCAGGTTTCATCATAAGAGGGGAGGTGGGCATATTGACAAGAGGTGAATCCAGCGATGCATTTGAAGCATTATACATCTGATTCGCCATAAATAATATATCTTGCCTTTCCGTTATTAACCATTGGCAGACTTCAAGTATATTTTCCATTCCATTTAAAGCCTTAGGCATATCTAAAATACATTGCATTAATTGTTAAATATCTATTATATAATATTCGTAATAATAATATTAAAGAAATTAAAAAACAATTACATTTTTTTACATTTTTCACACCACGCGACATTGAGACTTCAGTTTTTCTGTCTTCACCGTCCTCGGCCTCATCTGAGCTTTCAGAATGGTCATAGATATTATCTAATTTACATGATAATAGATGATACATAAGTCATTCTGGCACACATAGCATGGTATCCGTAAAACCAACAACAACTACCTTCCCCGTCTTCACTTTCTGATAATTGAAGTAGACTAGTGATTCTGCCTTCAACTCGTTGACGTTTATTTTTGGCAGAATTTGTAGATAAATTTCTTTTTTAAACGTAACTTTAGCTGGTTTACTTGTAGATGCTCCTGTTGTTTCCAATTCATAGTTGTCTTCATTAGACTCATCAAGAATTGCGCTGTAATCCAATGTAAAATAGTCATTTCGGCCAAATTGTGACCTCTCCGGCAGTTCTGAAGTGCTAAAATCATCAGGTGGATCATCATAGATTGGATCATCGTCATGAACAGTAATAACATTAGGACTTGACTTGCCGCTATGACCTAATTACAATATGTATAAAATTAATTTTAAAGCTTTAAAAAATTTGTAATTGCGACTTCTTGTTCTTGAATCGGAGTATCAGGTTCAACTGGTTACCTTTAAAATAAATGTCAAATGCCGATCAGTGAATTTTCAAAGAAAGATTAATTGATAAATATTGATAAAAAGTCCAAAAATATTACCTGTTTTATCTTTAATCGTAGTACTTACATCAGATTCAACTGGCTTATTTGTTTTGCCATGGCCACGATCACGATCACGACCACAACCACCTCCTCCAGATGCGATAGGCGCATGTTCAGGTTCAACAGGTTTGATAGGTTTTGTGACAGCCTTTACTTTACTACGACCACGACCACCTCTTCCAGATGCGTTAGGCACATGTTCAATAGGTTCAATAGGTTCAATAGGTTCTGTGACAGCCTTTGCTCTACCCCGACCACGACCACCTCTTCCACGACCTTCTAATAGAAAATAAAAAATTGCAACATATTAATTGCAAATTTATTGGTGACTTTTTTTTGTAATTTTTTATTTTTTTGCCGGATGGTTTCTTTAATTATTTGGTTATAACTTACTTGCAGCTTGTGTTTCATTTGACACGTTAGTTTTAGCAGGTTTTGAAGCTTTAGCGGGTTTTGGAGATTTTCTTGCTTTTGTCATTTTAAAATATTTGTAATAATAAAGTAAACACGAAAATTTCAAAGTAAAAAGTAGGAAAGAAATCCTTTTACTTTAATAGACAGATTTTTGTGATAAGCTTTTATTAACTTTCATTAAATTCAATAAATGGATTTTATACAATTTTTAAACTTTCTATATACTTCAACACATAGATTTCGATATAACTGAACATGAACATTATTTTTCAAGAAAATCTAACGTAACACATAGATTTCGATATAACTGAACATGAACATTATTTTTCAAGAAAATCTAACGCAAGAATAGTTTTCTGATTTTTCATATATCAGTTACACTGATTATTAAGGCTTTGCTGCTTCGCCCTTATTGTTGGGCTAAAGAACTCTTAATATGTAATACTCGCTTATTGTTAACCAAATAATATGTAACACTCGCTTATTGTTAACCAAATATAGTTAACAATGCTATTTTCTAAATTAATTATGACGAACAATTGATAAAATCTATATATAGCGAAACTTGTATATTTTTTTTTTTTTCTTTAATTTTCTTTCTTTAAACTTTGTATAATTTGAAACCTTTTACAATAAATGAAATTCCTTTTAACTTCTTTAACTTTGTATTTAAACTTATATATATATAAAGTTTATTAAAGTTCGTTATATACAAACAATAAATAATAAACTTTTGCATCTTTACCATTCTTTGTAAACTTGAAATGCATAAAAGTCGTCTTTCATTAACTAAACCATTTTCTTTACGCAAAAGTACAAATTTTTCTGGACGTAATATCCTTCAAAGGCATAAGCAGTTTCATTTGTATAAGTAATATTATACAGATGGGCCCAATAGTCCGAACTTTTTCTTATAATGATTCTATAATTGTTTCTAAAGCATTAAATGCGGATAATAAAGAAAATGGTGAAAACAAATTGCAAGATGAAATGGATGTTGAAAGTGATAACGACGACAACAATGGTGAAGATGACAACGGCAACGGCGAAAAAGAAAATAACGAAGATGATGATGATGACAACAACGAAGAAGATGATGATGATATCTATGGCGAAGAAAACGTTTATTATGATGATGATGTTGACAATGTGGATGAGAACGAAATGGAAGAAGATTACAATTTGGGAGTGGATGATAGTATTATTGATGATACTAGCAGTAATGTAATATTTAAATTTATTCATTTGCTTGCTTTAATGAACGAACCTCTCATTCTAGATACTGCCATATTTTTAATAATTGAAAAAGTGTTCACTTTTCACGTGATTTAACTAATAAACATATTTTCCGTTAATTTTGTAATAAAGCATAAAGATACAATAGTTGATTCATCATTAGATAATGACTATATGTCAAAAATAAACGGAAGCTTTGCACCTTACTTCGAAAATGCGACTTCCATATTGTTATTTTGTTGGATACAGAAACATAATATATGTAAGTACAATTTAGCTATAACGATATAACGAACACAATTAACGATCTACTTTAAAATAAATGATCTACATCGATAGCAACAAACGCCTATAACGACTTGGTAGAAATATTGCAACATCAAAAATTTGAAGTGAAAGATATTGCGAAAAATATAAGAAGGTTCCGTCAATGGAGAAACTGATTGCCCTTAATGCCAATAAGGACATGCTCTATTAAAATAAATCCAAAAAAGACACCATCTATATCTAAAGAAACAAAACCTTGTTTTTATCTTTCAATTCGTGATATTATTCAGAATATATTAAATAATCCGTCACTATACAACTCAATGTACTTTGGACCGGGAATAGAAGCTGAAGAAAAAAAGGAATTTTGGCATGGGGATCTTTGGGCAGAATCACCATTATTTGGCCAAGACAAAATAACTATCAATGAAGGTACTTTGGTTTAATGCTATTGTCACGAAAATCGTTTGTTATGTCACAATTCACAAACAAATGATGAAAATGGATCAAAAATGATCGTCAAAGTCTCAATTCATTTTTATTGTTTTGTACTTAGAAATTTATCGTCCAAGTGAATTCGCTATATACAAAGAAAATGGTAATCAAAGATTTGGACAGATAAGATCAATAGTATCTGTTAATGATGAACTTCAGATAAAAATACAACAGATATATACTTATGACGAATTACCGAACAATTTTCATTGTCATTCTCGAATGAACACAAGAGAATCACAATTGTGGTTGGTAGACCAATATTTGGAAGAGAGCAGTATTATCGCAAGTACTAATGAGATAGTTAGAAAGATTGATATTACAATTGTTCGTGATTCAACAATTATAACTGATGGCCTTTTTATTAAGACAATTTTATACAAAAACAATGGTCATTGGAAATTACGAGATGCAACGCTAGATTATATGCATCCATGCGAATATTCTGTCCTAAATCCTCCACCACCACAATATAATAACCTCTGAGTGTTAAAGATATTTATTGATATTTATTATGACGACTTTGGTACATATCGAAATGTTTACCATTCTCTGGGAGGAGTTTATATTCAAGTAGGAAACATGCCATATGACATGAGGCAACAACTTCGTAATCATTTTGTCTTGGGCTTTGTGCCTTTTGGCAGTTATTTCGAAGAATTTATTCAACCTTTTATTAGAGATATTAAATGATTGGAAAAGGGCGTATTAATGAATGTCCAAGGAATAAATTGTTAGGTCATCGCTGGTCTTGGATGTGTAACCGCGGACCTACCCCAAGGCAATGACCTAACTGGTGTAAAAAGACATGGTGCAATAAAGGGATGTAGAACATGTCTAACTGCCAAAGAAAATGCAACAGACATTACACTAGATATCGCTAATATTTCTCGCTACCATCACATTACCAATACCCAATTCGAAGATATATTTACAGCTCTGACCCAAAAGGAACGAAGTGATCTTGCGAAAGAATATGGTTTACATACCATTTTGCCAATACTCGATCAGCTTCAACGAGAACATCACCTGCAGTCGCCGCAGGATATTTACCATCTAATAGCTGGTAAGACGTCAAAATTACTTAAATTGATGATTTCTATATTATCTCCAGAAGGCGAACGAAGATTTATTAGAGAATGGAAATCGTTCAAATATCCTCGTCAATGGTTGAAGTTGCCGAATCCCATAAGTCACCTAGAAAGCTTCATGATGTCTGACCATCTTCGATTGGGTATGGTAATGCCATTTATATTGAATAGATTCTTGGTCAGTAATTGTTTAAAGCCACAAGAGATGGAGAAACTACAAGTGCGAACAAACTTGAATCGCAATCAAGTTATCAATGCAATCGTTAAATGCTGGGCAATTGTAGCAAAATGCTCTCGCCTTGCATTTAAGAATTCATTAACAAATAACGACTATATAGTTCTTGAAAAGTATTTGAAAATGGAACAAAAAGCATTGATAGAGGTAAATTTTATTTATGTTTGTATGAATTATTTATTATATTGACCATCTTTCAAACAAGCTCAGAATGGATCGGCAGCTCGAAGTAGATACTCCGGAAGTTAATTCTATATTCGAAAACTAATAATAATGCCAGTTCTCTGAACCTGAAAATTTTTTTTTCTATAAGGTCAATTTAGATTTTGCTAACTATATTATCTTGAATGCAGTTATTCGATGATTTCGTTGGTCTTCCTAACCTTCACGCTAACTGTCATTTATTGCGACATGCAAGAACTTTTGGAACTCTCACGAATACTGAAGTCGGAACAAAGGAGATGGTCCATCGTATCTTTAAAAATATGGTTCCTCATACCAATCGCAAGAACATTGAATTTGACTTATTAAAACGTTATACGACTCTGCAATCCATTCGGTATCTTGCAGATGGTGGAATTGATCCTCGAAACTTATGATCCAGCATTGAATTTATGAATATATCTCAAGATTTTAATCATTTATTCAAAGATTGGTTTATTATGAAAAATTCAGAGATGGATGACGAAGAACTATTAGAAGGTAATAAATATATTTATTATAAATAGTTAAAAATGACTATGTGCTAACATTTTTAAATAGTCTGTTCACAGTCTAGTCAATTCCGAAATATAATGCTAAGAAAGCCAATATCAGGTCGCAACACGAATATTGTCATTGATACAACGTTTCAAATTGATTTGTCTCTTGTATACGAAAGTTTTGGATATCATACATCAATGATCAACAAAACTTTTAGTTTTTATAAATACGCATCTTATATCAGTGGCGAAGCCCAACACCATTTGAATATAGACGATGTGGTGACCATTCAAGTGGCCAATTATGGTGAAAGTTACGCAGTCATCAAAGGAATTTTTAAACACAAAAGCAACGATGGTTATTTCTATCCATTTATTTACGTCAATTGGTTTGAAGATGCCAATAAGAATCACGACAAATTGGATTGTCCAATCTTTGTTCTTCGTCGTGATGATTTTTATCGCAATATTTTTCCATTAACGGTTATAGATAAAGTTCGAAAGGTGCATTTTGTACATGATTGTAATGCAAGATGCAAGGATAGTCATGATTCGGAAAATAAGCATTATTTAAAAAATGACTTCTTTTTCGAAGCTATTTAAATATACAGTATGTAAGTTTTTCTTTATTTGTTTCTATCATTTCTTACTTGTATTAACTTTATTTCCAAAAGGCAAGTGCTGAAAAAGAACGTTAAAGATGAAAAACTTTATCTGGTTACATGAACGAATTAATCCATTAAACACGTATTGTTAATTTAATTCTTAAATATTTTCAATCAAACTTTATCTGTTTAGTTGTTATCATACATGAAGCTGCGTAAATCTCAAGTTGTACTCCATGGAATCATATAGAATTGTATGTAATAAGGCTTTCTTTTTTTTTATTAAAGGTTTACTTTACTTTCAAGGAACTTAATTAACGTTTTCATACTCATTTTTTAGGTACTAGACCGGACTTGGATAAGACTTTATTTTGCGAACTTGGACCGGATTACATTAAATAGAATAGAATATTACTTTATGTTTATTGTAGAGAATATATGAATATACTATAGAGTTACTGCGCATTTGCTACAAATTTATTATATAACTGCTTTAAATAATCTACATGTTTACTTTATAAATGCTTTAAATAATCTACATGTTTACTTTACAACCACTTTAAATCATTTATGTGTTTACTTTATAACTGCTTTAAATAATCTATATGTTTACTTTAAATCATTTATATGGATACTTTAAATAATCTATATGTTTATTATATGGCTACTTCGAATAATCTATACTATTACTATACTAAATACATTTCTACGCGTTGAAAATAACTTAAAGTAGCCATACGCCTACTATGATAAATGGCGGATATATAGCTACTACATAGCCACGATTTCACAGGTTTCAGCAAAGAATATAACTATATAAGACACGACAGGCACATTGATCAATGCAATAATATCAAGTGAAATTTACTTTGATGATACTAATAATAATGAGTAATAATTGATAATAATCTAACAAATAAAGAATATTTAATAGAATTAATAATCCTCAATCATACAATCAAAACCCTGAGACTCTTCTTGAACTAAAATTTCAGTAAGTTTGTGACTTGAATAATATGCTTGTGAATGATACTGGATAATAGAAGTATTTGTTTGTTTTTGCACCAAAAATTCGTTTGCTTCTACAAATTCTTTCATTTCATTTTTTAATTGATTATCAATATTAGGTACTAAAAATTTATAATTTTCATTCTTGTTTATTTCATAATATTTATTAATACATCTAATCCATTTAGATATAATGTTTTCAAGCATTTTTATGGTCGGTCTATTGGAAGGATTTAAATCCCAACATTTTGTCATTAAATCTATATAACATTTTGGGGTATTTTTCATGATTTTAGGACGTTTTCCTTCATAAACACTTAAGATAAAATGATGATCATGTGCTTCATGGTTAAATGGAGGAACGCCTGATGTAAATTCCCACATTATCATCGAAAAGCTATAAATATCACTTGCTGGAGTATAGGGTTTTTTTCTTAATATTTCAGGCGCCATGTAAGGTAAAACTCCATAAATTTCATTAACTTTATTATCAGAATCTTGTAAATCACTTATAGGTTTGCATAATCCTAAATCAATAATAAATAGCTCATTATAATTATCTGATATTAAAATATTACCATCATGTAAATCACCATGAATTAAATTTGATTCATGGATTACTTTAAGTCCTAATATTATTTTTTTCAATAATTGTAACTTTTCTTGCCACTTGAAATTAATTATATCAGATAAACATTTTCTCAAACTTCCTTTTTTCGCATAACTCATTATTATTATATAATTTAAATTATTTGGATCTTGGGTAATTCCAAAAAATTGAATAAATTTCGAAAATGACTTTTTCTGACAATTATGATGATATTTCCACTATGTAAATAACAAAAAATTATTAAACTTTTGAAATAAAATTTGCTATTAAATATATATATATATACTATACCTCATCTAGAAATTCACTATTTAAATTTGGTGATTTATTAAGTGTTTTAAGAATAACCTCATAACATGTTTGTCTATTCCATTGTTGTTTGTCAAAATTCCAACTAAAAATAGGCCCATCTGACCAGATAGCTTTATGAATTTTGCTAAATCCTCCTTTAGCATAATAATCAATACTTGATAAATTATTGTAAGGTATCCACTCCAAAATTTCATAACTATTTTTAGCATTCGTTTGTGCTTCTTGAATAAATTTATCAATAAATTTATTTTTACTAGTCCACTTTGAAAAATTTTGTTGAAATCGCCTAGTATTACATTGTTGGCACCATTGATAATCAGTGTTTGGTAGCCTGCATTCATTACAAAATTCAACTTTATTTTTAGAATTTGTTTTGTAACTTTGATGCCAATAAAAGGCCCTTTCTAAATTCCTTTCTGTTCCTTCTCCATTTCTATAACATGCAGCTAAATTAAATATTGCATTAATATGACCTTTTTCTGCTGCTTTTACAAACCAATGAAAGGCTTTTTCTAAATTCTTTTTTGTTCCTACTCCATTTCTATAACATACAGCTAAACCATACATTGCATCAATATAATCTTTTTCTGCAGCTTTTACAAACCAATAAAAGGCTTTTTCTAAATTCTTTTTTGTTCCTACTCCATTCCTATAATGTACAGCTAAATCATACATTGCATAAATGTGATCTTTTTCTGCTGCTCTTTGACACCAATGAAAAGCTTTTCCTAAATTCTTTTCTGTTCCTTCTCCATTTCTATAACATATGCCTAAGTTATGCATTGCAACAATATAATCTTTTTCTGCTGCTTTTTGACACCAATGAAAGGCTTTTTCTAAATTCTTTTCTGTTCCTTCTCCATTTTTATAATATACAACTAAACCATATATTGCATCAATATAATCTTTTTCTGCTGCTTTTTGACACCAATGAAAGGCTT